TGCAAGATGATGCAAAGATGAACAATGTGAGACTACTAGGCATCAATGAGAAAGAAGGAGTCAATACAAATGACATTAAAAAAAATATGGGCAGAAGTAATAGCAGAAAACTTCCCAAATATGAGGAAAGAATCTGACATTCAGGTAACCGAAGCATACAGAGCGCCAAGTAACCTCAACCCAATGAAAAACACACCAAGACATATAATAGTCAAGATTCCAAAAATTCAGCACAAGAATAATTTATTACAACCAGCTCGAGAAAAGAAGCAGATCACGTTCAAAGGAAAACCATCAGGATTACGGCCAACTTCTCTTCACAAACCATGCAGGCAAGAAGAGCATGGAGCAGAGCACCTCAAGTCCTCTATGAAAACAAATTACAGCCTAGACTACTATACCCTGCAAAACTCTCTTTCAAGTTTGATGGAGAAATGAAATGCTTTCATGAAAAAGAAAAGTTAAAGAATTTAATTATGACAAAGCCAACCCTACACAGGCTACTGAAAGATGTTCTAGATATGATCAGAACTCCACGCATGAGATCAGAAGCAACCAACAAATTAGGGTAAGCAATTAAATACAGGAGAAAAAGGAGTAAATGACAACAGGTAAATAACATGTGAACCATAAGTCAATACGTCTCAATTCTAACTATCAATGTAAATGGACTCAATTCACTACTTAAGAGAACTACACTGGCACAGTGGATTAGGAAACAAAATCCAACTATATGCTGTATACAAGAAATATATTTAACTCCTGAAGACATGCATAGGCTGAAAGTCAAAGGGTTGAACACAATACTACATGCCCCAGCACATCAGAAAAAAGCAGGGGTAGTAATCTTATCCTCAGAAAGTCTAAACTTAAAACCAACAATGAGGAAGTGAAATAAAGAAGGCCATTATATACGGGGTTAGGGGAAAAATTCAACAGGAAGAGGCAACACTCATAAATATGTATGCACCAAACACGGAAGCAACCAAGTATATAAAGCAAATCTTAATGGACATGAAAAATCTAGTATCCAATAACAAAATGTTAACAAGAGACCTTAACACACCCTTATCTCCAAAAGATAGGTCAACCAGACAAAAACTTAGCAATAAAATAACAGAACTGAACCAGAACTTGAAACAAATGGCATTGGTGGACATATACAGAGTGTTTCACCCAAATACAGCTGAACACACATTTTCCTCAGATGCACATGGGTCGTTTTCTAAAATAGAACACATACTGGTTAATAGATCATGCTTAAGTACATGTAAGAAAACTGAAATTAGCCCATTCATATTATCTGACCATAGTTTAATGAAACTGGAAATAAATGACAAAAGAAACCAGAAATAAACCATAAAATAAATGTAAATTAAATGACACCCTACTCAGCAACTAAAGGGTCAAGGAGGAAATTAAACAGAAATTCAACAAAATCTACAAAACAATCACAACTTATCGGAAATTATGGGATACGATGAAAGAAGTTCTCAGAGGGAAATTCATAGCTGTGAACACACATATTCAGAAAACTGAACGGGAACAAATAAATACCCTAATGCTGCACCTTCAATAACTAGAAAAGGAAGAGCAAACCAAACCCAGAGCCCAAAGACGGGAAGAAATCATAAAGATTAGAGTAGAAATTAATTCAATTGAGATGAAGAAAACAACTCAAAGAATTAAAAAAGCAAAAAGCTCGTTCTTTGACAGATTAAATAAAATCGATAAGCCCCTAGCTAACATCATCAAAGAGAGGAAAGAAAAAATTCAAATTCAAGCAGTAAGGAATAAAAAGGGTTTAATTACCTCAGACTCAGTGGATATTCAGAAGATTATCAATAGCTACTTTGAGAATATTTACTCTCACAGAATAGAAGATATAGAAGAAATCGACAGATTCCTAGAAAGGTACAAATTACCACAACTGAATCGACAAGATATAACCACTCTCAATAGCCCAATGACAACCAATGAAATGCAAGATGTAATTAAAAACTTACCGGCAAAGAAAAGTCCAGGTCTGGATGGATTCACAGTTGAATTCTACAAGACATTTAAAGAAGATGTAGTCCCTATACTCCTCAAACACTTCCATGAAATGCAAAAGGAAGCAATCTTCCCAAAATCATTCCTGGAGGCAAATATTATACTGATACCAAAACCAGGGAAAGATGCAACTAAGAAAGAGAACTACAGGCCTATCTCCCTCATGAACATAGATGCCAAAATCCTCAATAAAATCCTATCAAATAGAATACAGCAAATCATCAGGAACATTAGACACCATGAAAAAGTAGGATTCATCCCAGGGATGCAAGGATGGTTCAATATTCGAAAATCTATAAATATATTACACTATATCAATAGAGTGAAAACTTAAAACAACATGATCATCTCCATTGATGCAGACAAGGCTTTGACGAAGTCCAACACTCATTTATATTCAAACTCCTACAGAAAATTGGAATAGATGGCTTCTACTTCAATCGGGTAAAAGCCATTTATGAAAACACAACAGCTAACATAATCCTAAATGGGAAAATCTGTAGTCTTTTACTCTTAAATCTGGTACAAGACAATAATGCATTCTATCACCACTCCTACTCAATATATTTCTAGAATCATTAGCTACAGCCATTAGACAAGAGAAAGAAATAAAAGGAATAAGAATAGGCAAAGAAGAAGTTAAACTATCTTTATTTTGAGATGACATGATATTTTATTTGGAAGACTCAAAAAACGCCACCAAGAAGCTACTAGAATTAATACAGAAATTCAGTAGCATAGCAAGTTATAAAGTCAATACCCAAAAGTCAATAGCATTCCTCTACACAGACAACAAAAACACTGGGAGGGAAATGATAAAAACAATACCTTTTGCAATAGCACTGAGTAAAATGAAATACCTTGTAATTAATCTAACTAAAGAAGTCAAAGAAATTTTCAAGGAAAATTACAGTACTCTGAAAAAAGAGATAGTATGGGATTTCAGAAAAAGGAAAAATTTTACATGCTCATTGATAGGAAGAACCAACATCGTAAAGATGGCCATACTCCCAAAATTGCTGTACAGATTTAATGCAATCCCTATCAGACTTCCACCGACATACAACACAGACATAGAGAAATCATTCCTAAAATTTATCTGGAACCAGAAAAAACATAGAATAGCAAAGGCAATTCTGGGCAATAAAGACAAGGCAGGAGGCATTACCATTCCAGACTTGAAATTGTACCACAAGGCTACTTTGATAAAATCAGGATGGTACTAGCAACAAAATATACCTGAGAATCAATGGAATAGCATAGAAGATGCTGAAGCTCCTATGAACACACTCAGCCACCTTGTATTTGACAAAGGGGCCATACATACTCACTGGAAGAAAGATAGCCTCTTTAACAAATGCTGCAGGAAAAACTGGCTCTCTACATGCCGAAAAGTCAAACTTGACCCCGGTCTATCTCCATGCACTAAACTAAAGTCAAAATGGATTAAAGATCTAAACATTAAAGCAGAGACACTAAATCTCCTGGAAGAGAAAGTGGGAGGAACTCTTGAAGACTTAGGGATAGGCAAACAGTTCATGGACAGAAATCAAATTGCACGGCAAACAGGTGAAAGAACTAACAACTGGAACCTGATCTTACTGAGAAGTTTTTCACATCGAAGAAATTACCAAAAAAGTGAAGAGGCAACCCACAAATTTGGAAAAATGATGAGAAATAAGTACTCAGACAAATGTCTGCTCTCTAGAATGTATAAAGAACCAAAAAACACTAGGGCCCCCAAATTTAAAGACCCAATCCAGGAATGCGCATCTGAGATGAACACACACTTCTCTGAGGAAGAAATTAAAGAAGCGAATAAATATATGAAAAAATGCTCCACATCACTAGACATCAACAAAATGCAAATTAAGTCAATTTTGAGATATCATCTCACCCCAGAAAGAATGGCTATCATAAAGAAATCACTCAACAACAAATGGTGGAGAGGCTGTTGGGAAAAAAGAACCCTTCTCCACTGCTGGAGGTTATGTAGAATGGTGCAACCATTATGGAAATCAGCACTGAGATTCCTGTGAAAAGTTGGTCTGGAAATCCCATTGAAACCAGCTGTTCCTCTACTGGGAATTTTCCCAGAGGATCTGAAAACATCACATCATAGTGATATATGTGTGCCTATGTTTATAGCAGCACAATTTGTGATAGCCAAATCTTGGAACCTACCAAGATGCGCATCACCTGAGGAATGGTTGTAATAGATGTGGTATTTTTATACAATGGTGTATTATTTAGCTATTATGAATGATAAACTCAAAGCATTTATATTGAACTGTATGCCATTTGAACATATACTTATACGTGAAATAAACCAGACACACATGTGTAAATATCATATAGTCTCCCTAGTATAAGAACTCAAAAGAATAAATACAAATAGGAACG